GGCAAAATACCCATACAGACAAAATAAAGTTTTTTCTAGTCTTATAATACTTATATCTTATTTAGACTTCTAAAAGGTTTTAGACGTAGGTTGTGGTTGTGCACGTCATTAATCCCAGCACTTGGGAGGCAGAGGCAGGCAGATCTCTGAAGCCATCCTGATCCACACAATGAGTTCCAGGCCAGCCTGGCTGGGCTACATAGTCAGGCCCTGTCTCAAAAAACAAACAGTAAAATAATGGTTTAAAAGTCAGCCATAGTGGCAGCACATGCCTTTAATCCCAGCACTCAGGAGACAGAGGCTGGTGGATCTCTGTGAGTTTGAGGCCAGCCTGGTGTACAGAGAGAGTTCCAGAACAGTTTCAAAGCTACACAGAGAAACCCAGTCTCAAAAAAAAAAAAATCCAAAAACCCAAAAATGGGGCGGGGGGAAGGTTTAGAGGTTGATCAAGATCATAGTTTTCTTCCTTGTATCTCTTAGTTTTATAAAACATTCCTAGTCAGATTTGTTCAATAAAATAAAGCAAAGAGCAAGAAAACCTGTGTTGTGTCCCTCTGGATAATTTTTATTTTTTATTTTATGAGACTGTTACATGAATTCCATGGTTTTTGTCCTTAGGTTTGTACTCAAACTCAATGAACAGAAACAACCATCTTTTATATATGCAAGTAAGATCAGTTCTTAGACTTTAAATGAAAAGTGATTGTTAAAAGAATCCAATTAATTAACCATTTTCTTTATAAAATAAAATATTAAAACAAGCAAATATCACCCAGAGGTGAGCTCACTTTGCCCTCTTGTTCTCATCCTCTGAGCACTGTTGAGTGTGAAAGCAATTTGGATCCATGGTGTATTTTTTTTAATCGTTTGTAAAATTAGATTTTATTGCCAAAAACGTAGAAAAGGGAGTGCATAGATTTGAGAAAAAAACAAAAACAAAAACAAAACTCCTTTGCCTTCACTTTCCTTGGAAGAAACTGTATTTGCAATGTCACTCTGTGCATAATTGATAATGTTAAGTATGTTAAAAATAGGTGCTGAAGAGATAGCTCAGCACTTAAAAGCACTCGGTGCGCTCACAGAGGTCTCAAGTTCAGTTCCCAAGGTCCAAGTGGTGTGGCTTACAACTATCTGGATCTCCATCCAGTTCCTCAGACACTGCGTGCATGAGGTACACTACATGCATGCAGGCAGACATTTATATGCATAAAATAAGTTGTACATAAAATAGAATGTTCGGTAAAGCATTTGTTTAGCGTGACTGAAGTTCTTAGTCCGACCTCCAGTGCATAAGGTATTCAAAATGCATTCAAAATATTTGCTGAATCCTTACCATATACTAACCTTCAGGCTGGGTCACCATTACAGTCAATATATAGGAAGAGATGTAGAAAATCCCAATATCTAAACTATGAGAAATTAGATATTTCAGCAATTAGCAACAGGAAGTCGCATTTTAAAATATGCTTTTACTTATTTTATTTATTTATTTTTTTAGCACAGGATGTTTTCTCTTTAAGTACCTGAAAATGTCTTTTAATGCTGGAAGCATTTTCTCAGGGGTAACTAAAAGAGAAAACCCATAATGCCTCACTTTACATGTATGTAGCAAATATGTCCTCCACTGAGGTAGCCCTGGAAATATTCCATCAACACGGAATGGGAAACTCTGTGTAGACAGTTCATAAGGCAGAGCTCATCACTCCACTCCAAGTCTGCTAACCCCCAAGGTTTCCCCAAACATGGGAGACTCAACTGCATATTTGTGGCAGTGGGGGAACTATGTTCTCACTTCAAAAAGGGGGAAAAAAGATAAAATTAGGAAACCAGAACGATATGTCCAACTTCTTTTCTTTTCAGTTCACAAATACATAGTTCCTATTATTAAAGAAAGTAAGGGAGACAGGCGGTTTACTAAATTGTCAAGGGCACACAAGCTAGGGACAGATAAGCCAGAATAAGCCAAGGAAATCTGACTGCAGAGTCCAGATTCTGAACTAGCCGCTTTAATGCATTTTGATGGACATGGCGTATTTTCTTTTAAACTAGCCTAACAGGCCATCAACACAACAGCGCCCTCTACTGGTTCTGTGGTCCGTACTGCGCGGGTTCTATGAGCAGGAAAAAAAAGACCAACTTGAAGAATGAGGGGAAAAATCATTTTGAAACCTCTAAGGAAAAAGGGCTTTATTCCCTAACAAAACAAACAATGAATTTTAAAAAACAGGTTTTGAGTGTAATGGTGGTTTCTAGGAAAAGCGAAGATGGGAATATATGTTTAATGGAACTAAAAATGTTGGGAGATTGTATAATTAGGTGAATATATGGTAACACTATAGACCTACTGCATATTTGGAAATGGTTAAGATAATAAAAATTATGGAGTGTGCATTTTACCATAATCAAATACAAACAAACGGGGTGGGTATGTAGTTCAATTCGTCTAAGCAGAAATCAGGAATGATGGCAAATACCTGTAATATCAGCACCTGGGAGGTGGAAGCAAAGGCTAAGAGTTCTCTGAGACCCTGAAACCCTGTCTCAAAGAAATGGGCAACACTGAAAACAAATCTAGTTGTAGTAGAAATGGTCCAGAGGAATGGTAGCAGTCTAAGTTAAGACTTTATTACCTCAAGTAAAGTTTATCATGAATCAAACCTTCCTGAATTTACTGGAAACTTTAATTCCTGTCATTTTACAGAAATTGTCGGCCATTTCTCTAAACTTGCTAAATATAGCTATGAAACAACTTAATCTTAATTTTTACGCTGATATATTTGGTCTTACACCCTTATAAAAATATGTATAAAAAGATTAAGAAACTGTTAATTATTTGGACAGATGATATGGTCTTTAGTTTGAATGATATAAAAGCTGTAGTGTACAGCTGAATGGAGGACGAAATTATCTTCATTTTCATTATTTTTTATGTAAGTTGGTGTTTTGCCTGCACATAGTGAGGGTGTTGGATCCCCTGGAACTGGAGTTACAGACAGCTGTGCGCTGCCATGTGGGTGCTGGGAATTGAACTCAGGTCCCCTGGAAGAGCAACTAGTGTTCTTAACTGCTGCATCATCTGTCCAGCCCCTGCTGAGGAGTACTCGGTCCCCGGAAGGCATTTGGCAATGTCTTGTGGTATTTTTGGTTATCACAACTGATGTGTAGAGAGTGCTACTCCCCATAGCCCTAGTTTAGGATATCACTAAATGTTCTACTGTTAAGTCACAGTCACAAACAACAACAACAACAACGACAACAAAAATCAACCTGCGAAGGTCATCAACATCAAGTTTCAGAAATCTCAGGCCGGAGTTTTCTGATTTTGCTCACTTTTTCTCAAACTTGGCTGCAGCTTTTCTTCCATCTGCCATTAAATTCCATCTCTTGCCAGTTCTAGTTTCTCTTGGGAGAGCACCCACACCCATAATTTCAGCTATTACTTGTACAATGCTGACTCCTGTATTATTGCATTTTGGTAAAAATGTTCTGGTTCTAACCTATCTCTCAATATCCTCTTATTTTTGGATAAGATTTTCTGTTTTTATTAGTAGTGATTGATATGGGTATCTATAGTTATAGGGCTGAGTTGGGGGACATATTGGATGTAGGAAAGGCAAAAGGGGAAATGATGACATTAGATTTTAATCTCATTTTTTAATTTAAAAAAAAAGCATAGGGCCATTGAATTTTACCAAATCTCTGTTGGTACCTAACTTATGTAATAGGCTGTGCAGAACGGTTGGAGGAAGGTAGCCATCTTTGAGGTGTGAGGTAGCTCTGGCAGTAAGTGCTTTAAGTAAGTATCTTGAAGATGGCATAATTTTGCACATAAATTATCATAGCTAGAAAACAAATTCCAATAATTTAATGAATTAAATACTGCAGAACCTGAGAACAGGAAAGTTTGTTAAAAGGGAATGCTTCTGACATTATGGGTTGAAGCTTCTTCATTAGAACAATGAGGCTGGAAGTGGGAAAGTGTGGTTTAGTTTGTGAACAAAGGGACAGAGACATAAAATTTATTGAGAGATGAAGATCAAAGAAATGCAGAAGCTTTTTTCCCAGTTTTGTGGCACCTTCTGGTTACTCTTTCTGGTTTCTTACCATATAACATAGAATATATCAACATGGCACAATAGTAAGATGAGTCATTGTTTTCCATAGCCCTAAGAAAGAAAAAAAAATGTTGCCAACTAAACACGAAGTGCCACCAGGTGTCTGTTTTCAGAGAAATCTTGGATGTTGGAATGAGAAAAAAATACAGTGAATTTTCAAGATGACAAAAAAATTAAAACGATGGAGGAACCACAGTGGTCCTGGGTTGGATGACACGTGTTGAATTTATTGGGCATCAATTTCCATAATCGGCTTGAAATTTAACAGTGTAGCAAATTAGTCAACATATTTATATACAGCTTTTCAGATGGTGTGCCCGCTTTCAGGATTCTGTCATGCGTGTATAAAACTGCACTGGAAAATGCTTAATTTCTTTGGCTACAGCACCCCCGCGACCCTCCCACACACCCATTAATTAAGACATGCCCTGTTGGCAAGTTACAAGCAAATTGACATTTAAAAAATGAAACTGTACAAAACTCTCCGCAGTTAATTAAACTGTGGGAGAGATGTGCTGGATGTGCTCTGGAAAAGCTTTTTATTAAATGTGCTTTTTTTTTTTTTTTTTTTTTTTTTTTTTTTTTTTTTTTTTTTTTTTTTTTTTTTTTTTGCATTCCGTTCTCGTAGAAAGGTTAAAGTGGGATGGGGCACGGAGCGCTGCGGAGGCGGAGAAGGGATATACGTCTCAGGGATACAGGAAATACGGTAACAGCGAAACCAGGAGGAAGCCAGCCCCGTGCCTGGAGGGGATCCGCCATCTCAGATCTCTCGGCCTTGCCAGGGCCCACCAGAGAAAACTGACGCTCTGGTCCGGCCATACCTATGGGGGACCAACCTTGTGCCTCCGGGAGATCCACGCTCCCACCAGGAGAAACGCGGGAACCCAAGCCTCCAAGAAAGCGCTGTCTCCTGGCTCCGCGGTGGGATTATCCCGAAGGGACTCCCAGTGGAGGTAGTACCACTCTCCCCTCGGCGCCTCCTCCTGCATCTGATGGACTGAAGTCGCACCCTCCTCCTCCGGAGAAGTAGTGAAATAGATTTTTCCCAGCCTAAATCAGGTCAGATACTTTCTTTCTCATTTGGGACATCCAGGCTCTCTGGAACTTAATTGTGCTTTCCCCAGCTGTTCTCCCTTTTCCTGTTCTTTCCACAAATTCAAAAAAAAAAAAAAAAAAAAAAAAAAAGAATAAGAATAAGAAAAAGAGAAACAACTTATAGGCGTTGAATGGCTTTAACAAAGTACGCGTGGATGGAATGACTATTTGATTGCATTGAGTAATTAAGATATTTCACGTGAGATAACTGAGTTTTTAAAGTAAACTGCAGTATTATGATTTTCGGGACAGGCCACGGTGTAGCGAGGTACTAACAAAATGTTCCCTGGTCGATAAATTAAAACTGAATGGGAATTGACTATACTGTTCTCTCTACTTTTGTGTATATTGGAATTTTTTTTCCATTTAAATGGAAATGCTTAGTTCAAGAGCAAAGATGTGCTGAAGGCCTACGGCCTGTAAGATGAGCTCTGAGAACTAGGGTTTTTTTTTTTTTTTAATGTAAAATGGGATTTAGTAAGTGAAAACAAAAGTTACAAAATGATGCTCAAACCCAAGTACCATAAAAATGTGCTTGTCCGAGGTATTGAGACATCATGGATGGACCGAGTCACCGCTGGTTAGTAATGAGAGCCATCTAAGAGGAAGGGAAAACTTTGGGTGGGCCTTAAAGGGTGAGTGACATCTGCCATCTGAGATGGACTGCTATTTAGGCCTAGTGTTTCCAGGATGAAAGGCCCAGGGCAGGCTTGTTCTGAGGCAGCTTGCCTGTAATCCTGATTGTGTGAAAGAAATGAGCTACAGACTTTGACCGTTTGCTAAGGAGTACGCAGTTTTTTCTCGAAGCAAGGAATATCATATCACAGGCGATTTCCAAACAAGCGCCATTTGTGTTTTAAGACTAATTCTTCCTTTCGGGAAAGCAATAGCCTGTTTAAATGAGCCTTATAGACTGTAAAAACAAACAAACAAAAAAAGGCGGGGGGAACCCAGGTTTGACTCAAGTCTCATCAATCCTTCTTCATCGCGTGCGTTTCTGGAGTCCTTGCTGTGGTTAGGCCTTGCACAGGGAGATGCGGGGGCAGATGGCGAAGGCGCAGTGGCTGTTGCGTAGCAGGAGTGAAATAGATATTTAAGCAAGTTATGAATAACATTGGCAACTGTGGATCTTCTGGGTTTAGGTTTGTTGCTAAAGCATAAGAAAGGAAGGAGTTCCATTTCATCTGAAGCAGCTGATCATTATTCCATAGGCTTTTCCTCCCAAGTGGGTTTTTTTTTTTTTACCTCTATTCAAAGGCAAAATGTGGTAATGCGGGCTATAGGGAGGGAGATGCTCACCTAGAAAACAAAGGAAGCTATTCAGGGCAAGAAGTGTGTAGGAGCTACGTGATTTCTCCCGTGATTTAAATCATAAAACATTGTAATGGTGAATATTCAGTGAAAATTTTTTTTGTGTCCCATACATTTTCTAAAGGGTTTGGTGTGTTAGAGTTTAATCACATATCCACCAAAGGATGTCTGAATAAGGCCAGTAAGTTCCTAAGTTACTACCAGTGATGAGACATGTTGAGATTTGATTAAAAAGAAAATGCTTGGTTCCAGAGACTTGATGCTGTAAGCTGCTGTGCTGAACATGCCCCCTTATACTGCGTACCTATTTAATAAGAATTGTGTCATTGAATTGGGAGCTGAAAGGAACGTAAGGAATTGGAAAAGTCAAGGGAAGATGAGTCAGACTGACTGTGGCAGACAGAATGACTTACCTTGCATCCTGTTTTCCAGTCGTTGAGAGGTTGAAGTATGATTCCATTTCCCTGGTGCGTTTGTAACACAGTTCACCCATTGACGACCATGAAGATTCTTGCCAACGCTACCCTGCTTTTGCTGGTGTCCCGCAGCTGGAAGTTGTATTGCTAAAGGTAATCCTTTTGTTTTGTTTTTCTTTTTTTTTCTTTACTAAAAAGGCATGTAAAGAAAGAAGAAAGGAATTGAAAATGACACGTTCAAAATAACTGACAAAAACCCCCAAAAGCCAGCATTAATGATAAATTGAAACCATATGCACCAAAAACTAGCCAGGTAAATCTGTGAGGCACTTTAATAAATTTACTGCTGATTAGTTTATAGTTTCCGCAAAGTGAGTCTTTTAAAGCCCATTTTGTAATTGTTACTAGTAAAGGGGAAAATGATTTGTACTTTTATATTGATTTTATAACATGCATCCTTTCTAAATTATATTTTTCTAGTAATTTATAGATTGTTTTGGGCTATTTGTAATGATATTGTATTGGCACTGTCTTTTTTTTTTTTTACCAATATGCATTGTTTTAGTTTGCCCAAGAAAAATTTTTTTGGGGGGGAGGGGGTGTTTTGAGACAGGGTTTCTCTGTGTAACAGCCCTGGCTGTCCTGGAACTCACTCTGTAGAACAGGCTGACTTTGAACTCACAGAGCACTTCTGCCTCTGTCTCCTGAGTGTTGGGATTAAAGGTGTGGGCAACCACCACCCAGCTGAAAATTAGTTAATATTCACAGTTAGCTGGAGAGAGGCATCAGTGGTTAAGAACACTGCCTGCCCTTCCAAAGGTCCTGAGTTCAATTCCCAGCAACCACATGGTGGCTCACAACCATCTGTAATGAGATCTGATGCCCTGGTCAGTCATCCTCCTCAGCTTAGACCATGAAACCCAATATGGACAAGTCCAACAGAACCGCCATACATGGGCTGCCCATGCACGCTTCAGCATTGCCAGAGCATACATTTTATTCAATTCAATTTGCATAGTTTGCTGAGAAGACTTATTGTGAATGATTATGGAGTTTTTTTCCCCACCAAATATTTTGTCTATATCTACTTGCATAAGCATTTTCCCCATTTATATGACAATGTGATAAGTTACAATAATTTTAATGAATTTCCTTCTTTTGGTTTTAACAAGACTTCTTTATTTTGGGGGATGGGGATAGGACAGAGATTAGCCTCCTATATTGGTCTTCAGGAATCATCCGCTTTTTTGTGTGTTTTGTCTCTTTGTGTCTTTTATTTATTTATTTATTTTTTATTTATTTATTAAAGATTTCTGTCTCTTCCCTTCCGCCGCCTCCCCTTTCCCTCCCCCTCCCCCACTCAAGTCCCCCTCCCTCATCAACCCAAAGAGCGATCAGGGTTCCCTGCCCTGTGGGAAGTCCAAGGACCACCCACCTCCATCCAGGTCTAGTAAGGTGAGCATCCACGAAACTGCCTAGGCTCCCAAGAAACCAATAGGTACAGTAGGATCAAAAACCCATTGCCATTGTTCTTGAGGTCTCGCTGAACATAGCGGACAATGAGGACTATTGTTTTGTTTTTTGAGACAAGAGCTGTTACTGAGTCCTGAGGAGGATAGGCTGACTGGCCAGTAAGCCCAGGTGACCACCGTCCCTACCTCCCCAGCACTGGGATTACAAGCCTGGCCACCATGCTCAGCTTTTATTTAGGTGCTAGAGTTAGAATTTAGGTCTTTTTGCTTGAATAGTGAGTAGTTTGCTTACTGAGCCATCTCTCCAGCCCTGCTTTCTCCTTTAATTATTTAATCTATATTTCTTTTTCTTTTAGTTCCCTTTTATTGGTTCATTTTCTGATTTAATGAATTGGACTCTAGCTCATTAGTATTTCTTTTCTAAAAAGGTGAAAACTACAAATTATTCTCTACCAGTTTGTAAGAATTTGCTTATTATTTTGTTATACTTTAACAATTATTGCTTTATGATGGCTAAATGATTTTTTAATTTGGCAATTTTATATGTGTGGGTGTTTTGCCTGCATGTAAATATGTGTGCTTAATGCTTAGGGATGTCAGAGGAGAGCATTGGATCCTCTGGAACTGGAACTACAGATGGCTATGAGTGGCCATGTGGGTTCTGGGAACTGAATTCGGCTCTTCTGCAAGAGCAACAAGTGCTCTTAACCGCTGAACCAGCATCTCTCCAGCCCCAGCTGAAGAGTTTTGCTTTTTAAATTTCCAGTTATTTATGCATTCTTTTTGAAATCATTGTATGATGAAACTACTCACCAAGCTATAAGTTAAGTTTTATTTTCTGCCACTTTAACGTATTTTTAAACTTCCTTGCAGCAACAACGGAAAAGAAATTTACATATATGCTGTACATCTCAATAGAATTTGGTAATATAAAGCTTTTTTTGCTAGGCATGGTGGCGCACACCTGTAATTCCGGTATCCAGGAGGCAGAGACAGGTGGATCTCTGAGTTTGAGGCTAGCCTAGTCTATAGAGTGAGTCAGGCTAGCCTGGGCTACATAATGACACCTTGTCTACAAACAAAACAAAAACTGAAAGCTTTTTTTTTCTTCAATACAAAGATCATGGTTAGGATGTTTAATTGAAATCCGCAGTCAAACCATGAGGATATTATAGAAAACCTCCCATATCTTTCTCCACGTTTATCAGCAAGTATTTGGCCACATTTGCCCTACCATTCTCTTTCCTTCTGTCATCTAAAAGGAATTTGCAGCTATATGTCTACTTTACTTCTTAATACTTCACTGTGTTTACTTGGAATAAATACTTTCTCATACATTATCTGTTTTTTTGTTTGAAGTTGCAGTCCAGGATGATGTGTTATACTTAGTTTTTTTTTTTTTTTTTGTGTGTGTGTGTGTGTGTGTATGTGTGTCTTTCTAGTCCTTGATCAGGAAGTTTCTTCAGTTTCTTCAATCTTCTTTGTCTTTCTTGACATTGACAATTTTTCAAAATATAAGATAATTATTTTATAGAATGCTCCTCAATTTAGGTGTCTGTATCATTTCCTCCTTTTTATATTTTGATGATGTATGTTGGCAGGAAGACCTCAGAATTCATATTAAGTTTTTCTCTGGGCATCATAGTCATAACTTGCTCATGATGCAGATGTCATATCCACATTGACTTCTTGATTAAGTTGCTGGGATTTTGTTGGATTAACCCCTTGTTTTCTCGTTACAGTCAATAATTTTTTAAAAGATTTATTTATTTATTATGTATACAATATTCTGCCTGCATGTATGCCTGCAGGCCAGAAGAGGGCACTAGATCTCATTATAGATGGCTGTGAGCCACCATGTGGTTGCTGGGAATTGAACTCAGGACCTCTGGAAGAGCAGCCAGTGCTCTTAACCCCTGAGCCATCTCTCCAGCCCCCAATAATTTTGCTCTGAATACTTGGAGATTGTGTATCTTTTCTGTTCCTCATCAAATTATCTTCTACTAGTTTTTGTATCTGTTGATTATTCTTGACTAAATGTTTTTACTATGACTACAGAATAATAAATTTCAAGCTCCATCATTCTTATTGCATTTACTAGTGTATATTCTACTTGAAGAGAAAGCTTTTCTGTATTTATTTATTATATTTAAACACCTAAATTTTTATGTTATTTTATAAATAGCCTGTTTCTATCATAATTATTTTACTCAGCTTGTTTTCTCTACGCTTTGGCATGGCACCATTCTTTGAGAGATATTTATTTTAACATTTCTTTTCTTCCTTACTTTCAGGCTCATCTTATATTTTCTACCCCATTGACCATTTCTCTATTTGACTGTGTTCCTGGGAGATCATATTTGCAAGCTGAGGTGTGGATCTATGGATCTTTTTTTTTAATCTTTTGTTATTTCACATTTAATTTTAGAGTACAAACATAGTTTCATAGTTGTTGAAATTTGCCGAATGTCTTAGAGAACTTAATGATTACTATTGCTTGTATGTTTGTAAGAGGTTTGTATATTCAGCCTGTTATAGAGGTCTATAAATATCTGCTAAATGTGTTACCATGTTGTATAAGTCTCCTAGGTCTTAGTAAAGTCTAGGATACATCTTTTTATCCTTTTTGTGACCCTTTTCTTAAATCTTTCCTTAGAATCTATTTTGTTTGCAAGATTCCATTGTGGCGATGGCATTTGCTTTTCAGTTCTTTAATCTAGTTATCATTCTGTTGAGATAGGGTCTTTCTATGTAGCCCTGAGACGCCTGGAACTCCCAGAGATCTGCCTGCCTCTGCCTTCTGAGTGCTGGGATTAAAGGCGTGCGCCACCACTGCCTTGCCTCACTCATTTTTTTTTTTTTGCTATATATCCTGTTTTCTTGCATTCTTTAGTTTGTTGTGAATTTAGGGCTCAAAGTAACAACTTTATTATATTACACTGCTATAGATCTGGTGTGGGTTTTACCTGGTTAAATCAGAGTGCTGGCCAGCTGCATTTCTTCCCAGAGGCTCTAGAAGACAATTGGTTCTCTGCTCCTTAGGTTGTTGGGAGAACTGAGTTCCTTACAAAGCTAAGAGTGAGAGCCCCATTTCCTTGTTGGATGGCAGCTGACAGGTGTCCTCGGCTTTTAGAAGCCCTTCATTTGTGACCCTCTTTCATTGTCTTCAAAGCCAACTCTCAGTTGAGTCCCTCTCACACTTAAAACTTCTCTGTTTCTTTTTCTCATCCACTCTCTCTCTCTGCTCAGGTAGGCAAAGGCTTTCTATGTTTAATATACAATCAGCCAAATATGCCACCCAGTTAATCCAGAGGAAATTCTTCTGTCTTCAAATCCATAACCGAATTACATCGCCAGAGTTCTTTTACCATGTAAAGCGATATAGTCGCCTGTCCTGAGAATTATGATGTGAACCCCTTTATGTAACTATTATTCTGCTTTCCACACATCCCATTATTGCAGTTAACCATAACCGTAATTCAGTGTTTGATAATCCATTCTTTCATTCAACCAGCAGAAATACTTTTTAAAACATATATTAAACATATATTAAAGCAAACATCTGTTATATTACAGACATTGTACCAGGTGCCCATACTGCCAAAATAAGATGTCTAACTCACCCACTAAAGCCATAAACCAGTTTGGTAAGTTTCGTAGGAATTAGCACATACTGCCGTTTAAGAGAATGCAAGAGGCTGTACTGCCTAGATGAGAAATACCAGGATGGATTTTTGTGTGCATCGATGTCTGTGCTGGGTCTTAAAGAGTACTCTTGGGTATTAAGGCTGGGGAGTGGTAAAATGTATTAGTTACTTTCTGTTGCTCTGATAAAATACTATGATCAAAAACAACCCAAGGAAGAAGGGGTTTATTTTGGTTTAAGGTTCCAGAGAGACAATCCGTAATGGTGAGGAAGGCATGTCAGCAGTCAGCTGGAGCAAGAGGCGGACTGATCACATTTTATCCAGGAACAGAAAGCAGAGAAAGCTAACAGGAAGTGGGGCAAGGCTCTACACCCCCAATGGTCACCCCCCACACACTTCCTTGCTTCCTCCAGAAAGGCTCTAGCTCAGAAAGGTTCCATAACATTTCCTGAAATCCAGGAGGTTGGCCCTGAACTCTGAAGCACCAATCCTTCCCAACCTCCCAAGTTTCTAGGATTACAGGCATGTGCCACCACGTCCATAACATTTCCGAACAGCACTAATCCACTGGGGACCAAGTGTCAAATATTGGGGACATTTCTCATTCAAACCATCATAAGGGCAAGTAGAGAATAAGTAGTGAGACTGTAATGACCAAAAATACAGAGCTCAGGACAGCCTGTTCTTTTAGAGGACACAGGTAATAGTAGCTACATCTGCAAGTCATGTAACTTCCTAGGATGTAGGATGAATATGCAAATTTTGTGCTCTTTACTGAATAGTTTCCAGATAAATCAATAAGAAATATAAAGTCATTACAACCTTTTAAGGAAAGCCAAATGTGGTAGCACACTCCTTTAATCCCAGCACTTGGAAGGAAGAGGCAGGTGGCTCTCTGTGAGTTCAAGATGAAACTGGTCTACATAGCAATGTCCAGGTTAGCCCAGGCTACATAGTCAGACCCTGCCTTAAAACAGGGTCTCTTCCTGGATGGAGGTGGGTGGTCCTTGGACTTCCCACAGGGCAGGGAACCCTGATTGCTCTTTGGGCTGACTAGGAAGGGGGACTTGATTGGGAGAGGGGGAGGGAAAGGGGAGGCGGCGGTGGGGAAGAAACAGAAATCTTTAATTAACTAATAAGTAAATAAATAAATTAAAAAAACAGGGTTTCTTATAAGGAGAGTGTTATGTTCATATACCAGTCTTCATGCAGAAGATAGCATAGGAAGATACTGGATTGAAAAGATAGTTAATAATGTAAAAAACCCTTCAAGTAATAAAACTCTGAGCTTAGCCATTGATAGTTGAGATGAAATACAGAGAAATGGATTAAGGATGATTTTTGAAATATTGATCAGATGGTATATTAATCAGGATTTAGCCTGTGAAACATGATCAGAAGGAAATATGCAATAAGAAATTATATACAATTGTGGTGTATTGACTTGGGTTGATTGCACAAGTCTGAAATCTGTAGAGTAGGTTTGTGGGATGGGCCCCCTGAAATTCTCCAGCTCAGGCTACAACTAAGATACATATTTCAGAGAAGTTTTATCTCTATTCTTCGTGCCTATCAATTGACTACATCAGATCTCTCAAGATTATCTCCCAGCTCCTTATTTAAAGCCAGCTGGTTGTAGATGTCAGCCACAAGAAAAGCAAAATACCTTCACAGCTGCCCTGGGACCGTAGATTCTAAGCTAGCCAACTAGCAACAAACGTTCGTGACAGATAAGAGTTCTATATGAAGGAAGGCAGTTCTCAAGTTTCTGAATTTATTATTGTGTGAAGTCACTGTCTGAGGGACAGAATGCAATACATGGGATAATTTTCACTATTTTCAGTAAGCTCGCTGGGCAGAGAGATTCCTGGCAAGCTGGTAAAGCTCTGAGGTGACAAGAGCACTTTTGATAAGTAGGGTAAAAACTGCTATCAAGAGTGACCATTTAGGGCAAGGGAGCAAATTAGATACTCTAAAGCACAAATCCATAGAGAAAACTGTCTGAAATCAACTCTAGGATCACCGGCATTTCAAGAGCAGCTGAGAAAGATGAACGAAGGGGATGTGGAGGGCAGGTCCTGGGGGAGTTTGCTGTCCAGATTTGAAAGAAAATTCAGGAAGCAACTGTCATATATGGCAAAGGGTTTAATATATTGGAATTTTTGTTTTATTTTTGCCTTTTCACAAACACAGCCTTGAGAATGATGTCTCTAATATATAACCATAATGTTTCTCTGCTTAAAATTCTTTAATGATTTCCTCATATCTACAATAAAATCTTAAATGGCTTGCAAGATTACATATGCCATGTCTCTCAAGCCTGATGTATTACCATTGAGCATTTCACCTTATACCAACTGCACAAAAGCCTTTTGTTGGATTTTTTTTCTTTTTCCTTTCATGTTTTTTTTTTTTTTTCCAGGACAGGGTTTCTCTTTGTAGTACTGGCTGACCTGCCTGGAACTCGCTTTGTAGACCAGGCTGGCCTCAAGCCTCCCAGCTTCATTGGATTCCTTATCCCACTATGATTCTCTTGAACTTCTTGTTACTTCAGGCTAATTTCATATTACATTTGGAACTCTGATGTCTCTGCAGTCTGCCTTACAAAGCCGCCTATCTGGCATGGCCTCGGGGGATTTTACCCTAATTCCCTGACTGACCTCTACTTAAAGAAGCCATTATTATTGCATCTTTGTAATCATCTTTATTTCTGGTTCCAGTATTTGTATTTGTTTGCACATATCAGATATCAAAATAGTAGACACAAGAAATTTCGGTGTTGCTAAGTTCCACCTTGTGGATTGTGAACGGTGGTGTGAACAGTGCTGTGAACAACAGAGCTTTGCTGGGTCTACTTATTTCTCCCCTTTTTATTGAAAATAGACTTTTTTTCTAATACAGTTTCCCTTCCCTCTACTCCTCCTAGCTCCTCGCCACCTGCCCTCCCCTCTGGATCCACCCCCTTTCTCTCACTAGAAATGAATAGGCTTCTAAGAGATAACAACATAACAAAAGAAAATACGATAAGCTAAAAACAAAGCTATCACATCCAAGTTAAATAAGACAAATCAACAGAAAGAAAAGATCCCAGTTGGGAGGCAGAGGCAGGTGGATCTCTGTGGGTTCGAGACCAGCCTGGTCTACAAGAGCTAGTTCCAGGACAGAGAAACCCTGTCTCGAAAAACCAAACCAAAAAAAAAAAAAAAAAAAAAAGAAAAGATCCCGAGATAAAGCACAGGAGTCAGAGACCCACCAGTTCACACACTCAGGATTCCCATAAAAACACTAAACTGGAAGCCATAGTATATACACAGAGGACCTGGTGCAGACCCGTGCAGTCCCTGTGCGTGCTGCTTCAGTCTCTGTGAGTTCAGATGACTTTTGCTCACTTGATTTAGAGGGCTTTGTTCTTTTGGTGTCTTTCTGCCTCCTCTTTTCACGGGGTTCCCTGAGCTCTGAGGGAGGGATTTGATGGAGACATCCCATTAGAGCTGTGCATTCAACGCCCCTCTCCCCGTAATGTGTGGCTGTGGGTCTCGGATTCGTTTCCATCTGCTACAGGAAGAAGCTTCTCTGATGATGGCTGAGTAAGGTATTGATCTATGAGTGTAGCAGAATGCCATTAGGAGTCATTTTATCCCTACTTTAAAAAGAGACCAGTAGAAGAGGTCCCATGGAAATCCCTAAACAACCCAGGCTGTTGCTAAGAGAGTAAGTTGTTCTTCACAAACTGACAGTGGGGCCTATTGCTGAAGACAACATACACGACTCATTGAACATGGAGAGGTCTAGTTGGTGACTCCATTCTAGTGTCTTTGATATAGGAAGGCACTCTACAGGCTACCAAAAGAGAAACTTAAAATCAACCCAGCCACTACCCAGCCATAAAATCTTTGATCTACAATCTGTCCTGGCTTCAAGATACACTAGTGCAGTCATTTATGGCAAAGCTTCTGAGTGTAACCAGCCAGTGTCTGATTTGACTTAAGGCCCACTCTATGAGATGGAACCCATATCCAATACTTATTGGGTGACTTGAGACTAGATATCCCAGAGACCTAGGGTAAAATAAAAACCTACATTTTTTTATTATATTGAAATGCACAGTTGGCTTTGGGACCATCTCTGTTCCATTAAACTATGCTGGTGACAAAATAAGGGTACAATTCAGACTCATCTTTTACTATCTTTAGGTCCTTTAGGCCTACAGCTGGATCAATGCCCTTGTACTTATTAGAGGGGCCTCAGATCAACAAGAGGCCTTTTGGTATTATGACCCTTTCCAGGAAGGAGTGAGTTCCTATTGTTTCTTCACCAGATATGTGAGTTACCGCCCATTTCAAAGCTCTGGAGCCAGGAAACATCTCCTTAGCATGAGCTGACCAAGTCTTTCCCCTCTTCACCTTCCATGTCCCATTCTTTCCCTTCTGGCCCACTCCTAATTGATTAGAGAACAGAATAGGGCAGAGGAAATGCTCTAAAGAGAGATCTTGGGCCTTTCAGCTATCTGGTGGCCTTCTCTGGGCTCTCTGGTGATAGTCAGTCCATTCTCTGCACATGGGTGAGCTGCCTGGTGCTCATATAAGAGACACCCGTGTCTTCTACCCTGTGGATGGATGTCTTTCCCTGGCCATTTGCTTGACTGGGCTCAAGGTTACAGTATGGTCCCCAGCTGAATTCACAGGCCTGTCAGAAAGTAATACTGCAGCAAAAGTATGATCAAGCCAGTACTGTGACCAGCACTTTCTGCTGTGGAGAGCTGGACTATGACTTGAATCTTCCTATGGGGTCACAGGGAACTACATGTGTGTGTTTTAACTTTTAATTTTTTTTTCTTTTTGTAAGAGCAGGAACCAAGGGAAACTGAGAGGGCCAAAGGGAGGGGAAAGTCAAGCTGCTGCTTGAACAGGATTCCTGTGAGGCCGCTAGCCAACTAGTCCCTAGTTTCTTAGCCTCTTGCTCAGCACTTTCTTGGTCTTTCCTAGCAGTTGGAAAGGTTCGAGGACCACATCAACAGATGGGCAGGGAAAACGTTTTAGCTGTGATCTGTGACTATCCAGAGGAAAGTGTAAGTGGTGCCCATCAGTGGAAAGCACAGAGTAAATGCCAGTAGCATATGTCTCCTGGCTGACACTTTAACTGGACTTACCACAAGAAGGAAAGGCACCTTGCTTCTACTGCTTGGGAGCACTCTGAGAAGGGAGAGGCAGATATGGTGGTAAGCTCCCACGGGCAGAGGCCTGGAACTTCCAAGTACAAATGCCTAACCACGCTACTGTTGTGTCCCTGTCCCCAACTGGTGTTCCTGTGAGGAAAGGAGCGACCTGGTCCAGCATGCCTGTAGCTCTCAGGATTGGTCACACTGTTGATCTTCACAAAGGATACCAGTATCAATGGCCCAGTGCCTAAGTCACTGGCCAATGACCTAACCCCACATGATTTAATGTTAAGGTTCACTGGCCTCCATGCTGCTACCTGTGTTGTCCTAGGGTTTCACCTTTGGAGGTGATGGGTCTCTAGAACACTAAGTGCATATAGAATACTATGCCATGCAATGCTGGTATTTTCTTCAATATGACCAATGTTTTCTCTTCACTTGTACCTCCTTAGAGGCATAGGCCACACTGGGAATGCACAGAGCTTCTTGACAAATTTGAAAGTTGTCCTCCCAAGGCATTCTGGCATTTTTCTGTGGACTGAATTGAGAAATAAGCATTCTGCGCATTCTTTACTGGAACAACAGTTAAATATGATGAGTCCAAAACCAGACTCACAAATAGTAGCAAATGTCTGTCATTCATCAACCACTGAGAGACTTTTCCTAAGTCTTGTATTAGATACAAGGCCACCACTTCAGCTGTGAAAGATAAGAGGAGGGAGAGACGTGCAGAGATCTGGACAAGTGAATGGTGGGATTCCTGCTTTCAATGTCGCACAATCTCTTTCAAATATAATTAACTGTATTCTCTCTGCATCTTTTTATGGTTTTTGTCCTACCATTTCAAATCATACTAAAGTGTGCATCATATTCTTTACTTCCTTCACTCCTTATATTTTGTGTGCATTGATGCTTTTCCTATTTGAGGAAAGGATTACTTTCTCTGACTTGTCTATATTGCCTCTGTAAGTTGACATTGCTTGGTATAAATGAAAGTTTTTCACTTGTCCATCAGCCACAATGTGTTTCTTTTTTTTTTCTTTTTCTTTTTTTTATATCCTTTTTTTATTTTATTGAGAATAAAAAAAAAGTTTCCGCCTCCTCCCAGCCTCCCATTTCCCTCCCCCTCCCCCCACTCTTCTCCCCCTCCCCCCTCCCACAATGTGTTTCTTAACACTTTTTGTCTTTGCTTGTTTTCTGTACTGTTTTGGAAAACAAAGCAAAATATTAGTTCATAAAACACTGCATCATACATTAAGCATATAGTTCATTGATAGAAAATATGCCTATCTTGTATGAGTCCCTGGGTTTGTTTCATAGCACCAAAACACCTCCTAAAATAAATACAAGATCCAGTGTATTATATTGTAAAATATTATATTTGGAAGGAAAATTTAAATCTATTTAGGAGGTTAGTGTAGCTTTTACTAAGGTCTCCAATCGAATTTTAAGTATAAATTCTTTTAGATAGCCTCTTGCTATGGAGCCCAGGCTTGCCTAGAACTCACCACACTGGGTTGCTTTCAGTCTCCTGATCTGACTACATTTACCTCCCAAGTGCTAGAATTCCAGTCATGTGTTACCACATCCTGCTTATAATTTGTTTTTGAACATGAAATACTACATTTAAAAGAGCTAAAGGTATTTTTTTAAAAAATTGTTTATATAACCTCATAATTGTGCTGATAGTAGCTATCAAATGTTTATTTCATGTTTCATAAACTTTAAGTAAAAGAGCCACTAGTTCTGTCTGAGGTCTGCCTCATGTAGAGACATGTAGAGAATGAATTATTATACCTATTTTAAGAAAGCACAGTTAGCCCTCCATCAAAGGCTCTGTGTTGATGGATTCAGTTAGCTCCAGCCCCAGTTAGCTCAAATGTCCTTTTGTTGCTATGGTTGTCCTATACTGTATTAGTGAATCTTTGATTGTTTTGCTGGTAGACTTTTTTTTATATGACTACTGAAACCATATAACAACTATTTGCATAGCATTTATATTGTTTTAGGCATTGCAAGTAATCTATGATATTTATATATGAGAATGTAAGCATGCATGTCATTTATATGGAAATATGATGCCAATTTATACAAGGGAGTTAAATATTAACAGAGTTTGGGATCCATTTCCTGGCAGGTAGATACTTGGGGAAACTTGAAATTTGGTTTGCCTCATAATCCAACAGGCTGAGAATATATTTGGATGTTTATGAAAACAATTGGAACCAGGTGGTAATAGCACTTGCCATTACTCCCAGCAATCAGTAGGCAGAAGCAGATGGATCTCTTTGAGTTTGAGGTCTGTCTGGTCTATAGAGTGAGTTCTAGGACAGCCAAGACTACACAGAGAAACCCGGTCTCAAAAAACAATAAAAGGAAAACAATTGGAAAGATACTCCATGCCTTTTATTTAGAGAATTATTAAGTTGTAAAATCTTGTGGTGTACTATTATATACATATTCAAAAGAGCATATTAAATCTATAATATATACTAAATATAAAATGATAAGTAATGAAAACATTGCATAATAATATATATTATATAAACTCATTTTAATAACAAATGGGAAACCTACATATTTGTCAATATATCTGTTTATGATGATTATAAAAATGTGGAGCATGTACTCTAGACTACATCTGTCAACCTGCAGAGACTAGAAATGGGACTTATTGGGAAAAAAATTACTAAACTTTTCTTTCTCTTGTTTTTTTAGACATAGGGTCTTACTTAGCCAGCCTAATTATCCTGTCTCAACTTCCCAAATGCTGAGATTACAGGCATGTATGCACTACACCCAGCTTCTAATCTTGTCTTTATACATTTTATATTTTATCCTTTATTACTATACCTATCTTAAAATAATTTTAATGAAACTTTTAAGCTTGTATATAAAGAAAGAAATCATAAACAATATGAAGTTGGTTGATACACACTCCGGTTACATTAATGCACACATACAAATGTGTATAATGAATAATTCATTAATTACTCCTAATAACTTATCAAATAGTCCTGTCTTTTAGTAAAAAAAAACCATGAATTAAAAGAATGGACAGGTCATGGAAGACAGAATGTATGTGGTCAACCATGATGAATGACTTTGTGCATTCTTTACTGGAAGTCAAAAGGCAGTTGAATCTGTTGAAATCAAAACTGAACATACAAACAGGAGGCACCCCCATTCTGTTATAAATCAACCGTTGTGGAACTTCTCGTTTGTACTAACTATATCATACTCAATGCCATTCAACAACTGAATGATTAAAGAAGTTAACATTGTGATATAATGTAAAGTAACCTTGTAAACCAATAAAATATTGAGGTAAGCCAGTTTTTAATAAAGAATGTTTATGAAGTGAACTTGGTGGGTGTGGTGGTGTATGCCATAATCTCAGCACTTGGGAAACAGAGACAAGAGGGAAATCCCCAATTTTACAAATTCACCATTAGTTCATTCTATTTGTAGTAGTCAAAATTCTTGGGAGATGGCTCAGTGGGTAAAGTGCTTGCTGCATGAGTGTGAAGCCCTGAGTTCGAGTCCCCATAAACCAGGTAAAACTGGGTGTGGAACCACACATCTGTAATCTCAGCACTCCTACGCCAAGATGGGAGGTGAATCCTTGGAAGCTTGTGGGCCAGCTAGCCTGGCCTCTGCACCTGTGACCAACAGAGAGACCCTGTGTCAGACAAGGTGGAAGGTGAGAACCAACATCCGAGATTATCTTCTGACATCCATATGCACATCATGGAACATGTACACCCACATGTGAATGCATACACACACATGCACACACACACACACACACACCCTATAAAAAACACACAAAAGATGAATTATCCATAATCCTCAGATTTATAAATGATAATGCCAAATATATAATATGTGAAATACATACAATGAAAGTATAAACAGTTGAAAGATTTTTTTAACAGCATCAGCATTTTTCCAGGTATGTATTTTGACCTGTCTTTCATTTGTGGAGTTGATGAAAGTGACCCTATGTAAGAATAAATCGACTTTATTGTTTTTCATAAGTAAAAGTTGCAATCACACTCGATGCCATTTAACAGAGGAATAATTAAATAGGTAGTATTGCCATATAATAGAATGAGACAACTGAAACAGTGAGACAAGTTAATTTTTATAACGAAATCTTATTAAGGGAGCAGGGCATAGTGGTACACACCCATAATCCCTGCACTTGGGAAATAGGCAGGAGGGAAATTCTGAGTTTGAGACTAGCCCTGGCTGTACAGTGGTAGTGAGATATTATCACAAAAAGAAAAACAGCTAGAACTTAAATGGGTAAAAAATTAGTGAAGAAGTATATAAACTGATGATGTAATTCATATTCCAAACTCCAAATCTAAAATACTGTATTGTAACCACCATGTATGTGTATGTACATACATACAAACATACATAGACAATGGTAAAGAAGTAATTGATGCTGATGCTTTTATCTGGAGATACAGGGAAATCTGAGGAATGGTAAAAGTCTGGTGACAAGAAAGTTTCTATTTATATTGTTTAAATATGAATTTTCTAAAGAACATAAGAAGGTAGTCAAGAGCGGTGAAGCAGCACTGGTCCTAGGAAAGCAAGAGCCGCTGAAATAGGCATTCCAGCAATTCTCTGGGAGAAAATTACACTAAGGGTAGTAGAGACATCTGATCTCATTGACACAAAAGCTTTTTTTTTTTTTTTTTTACATTCAAACACATTAGGTACCGAGCACTAGCAGATTATCAAGACCCTATGATCTGTTTCTCCTATAGCCTGTTTAGAAGGGGATCTGAAGCATTGCCTTCTGAACACGTGTTTGACCTGTATAATTGCGTTTCTCATTGTAAATGAATATGTTTCTCTTTTTATATCTTTCAGTATTATGATGTAATGACTGTGATTTCACCTCCAGAATTTGGATGAATTTAGGACGTGGGCAAGATCGGGTTGTATACTTCTAGGACTGAAGGCCATGGTGTGTGTGGATCATGGTAAACTCACCAAAGCAAGCCCTTGACATGGTCCTGCAGAAGCCAATCATTGCTCTCTTTTGTTGACACCCAGTCTTTGCTCTATTGCATTAAAGCTTCATAAATGCATTGATGTCCAAATAAATTTTGTCTTGTTGCTGTGTTATAGCTATGTGACAATTATCACTAAATTTTGAATTTGAATTAAGTATTATGTGAAAATTCTAAATATAAACTAGTTCTAAAATTAGTCCCCAAATTCGATCTTTTTCTACAGATGGCCATCTAATCATCACGGTAGTGTGACTATGGCAGGAAAGGCATGGGTAGGTAAAAACTTAAGAGTTAGCTTGCCAGTAAGCTACATTAACTGACAGTTGATTTATGCCGTATTTTGCCTGGAGTCCACATTTTAACTATTTTCTTCGTCAAGATGGTTTGTGGGCTTGTTTTCCTAATTTGCTACTTCTTAAATGGCCAGAATTAAATACAGTAAGTATCCTAATTACAAATATTTATAGGCATTGTGTGGTAAAATCACACATAATATGGTAAAACTTTAATTGCGTATGCTTACACTTGACATAGTTAATGAATTGCTCATTAATTATTCATGATTAGGGGTTTGAATGACAAACGATGTAGCTGAATGCTAGAGCACTTGCCTAACACAGCAGGTCCCCGGATTAGTCCTCCAAAGTGCCAGAGCCTAGACTAGGAATACTGCCAACAAGGGTTTGGGGGAGGGATTAGAGAGTCACAGGAAAATTGTGTATGTACTATAACAACTGTAAGACAGAGGTATAAGAAGGAGAATTCTGTATTCTGAATTATAATAGTGAAAAAGTACTTTTTTCTAAGTACACAGCATATCCGAAAGCAACATATAAACATGCCTATAGGTTAGTATATATAATGATCACATAATTTGTTCAAATAATAGTTAAAGCTGAAAAATATTTTTGAAAAGATGTGAAATGTATTTGATTCTGAACACTGAAATCAGTCCTTGCCCCAGAAGCAAGGGATCTGGAAAAAAATAATCACAAATACACTGATAATTATTTCTATTCCATGCACAATTGATACATTCTGAACAAGGACATTAAAAACCCTGTATCTCATTGCCCTTTAGAGGTTTAAAACTATTGAAGAAGCACAAAAACTACAAACAGAAATCATGGACTTCTTGAACCCAATGATAACTGGTGATAGGCATGTCATGGGCCAAAGACTCAATAGTGTCCAGATGATGCCAGTTTCTGAAATATGCAGTATAATCTGTATCCGAGTTCACATTGCCTTCAGAAGTTCCAAGATGATATGAAGGTCATAGAAAAGTGATGGAACTCAAAAAGCCAAAACCTTTCCAGGATATCTTATTTTTCCAGATATGAAAATTTAGTACAGAAGTACAATGAGCAAAATGGTGCATGATAAACATATTGATTAATGAAATCAAATCAGCAACCTAGAAACAAGCTGTCATTTTTATGGACAATTTCTGAAAATTTACCAAGGAAGGCTAAAAAGAATGGTGTTTTCACCAGATGGTGCTGCAACTAGTGGCCATCCACATACAAAAGAATGAAGCTAAATGCCCACCTAACACGCATTCGAAACTTAACCTTAAATATATCAAAGACATCAATCCAATGGTTACATTATAAAATTCTTGGAAAGAAACAGGTGTATTTGTCAGCTCAAATTAGCTATTTTAGATTTTGTGCAAAAAGAACAAGTTACAGTGAGAAATGTGAGTAACCTTGATATTATAATTACATATGGTATTTTAGTCAAAAAATTAAAGGATTATTTCAAAGAGCACAATGAGGAGAGGAAAGTGGTGGGTTGGAGACTTCTAGCATTTTCCTATTCTGCTATATTAAAATAAACCAGAGGTTTGTCTTCAAGGAGAGGTGGTGACGTGGAAAAGTACTTGAGTACTTGAGCAAGAATAGAGGCCAGGAAATCCAGAGATATTGGATGTTAAATTTATAAAAGAAACAACAATAGAGACTAGGGGTGGTGATGCATTCCTCGTTCCACCCCTTCGAAACAGGATTTCTCTGTGTAGCCTTGGCAGTACTGGAAGTCGCTCTGTAGATCAGACTAGCCTCGAACTCAGAGATCTGCTTGCCAAGTGCTGGGATTAAAGGTGTACGCCACTGCCTCTGCCACCACCAACTTTAATGCATGCCTTTAATCCGAGCACTTGAGAGGCAGGTTCATTCTGTGAGTTCCGGAAACGATGTCTCAGAAAACTGGGGCTGGGGGGGACAACCTTGCATTGACGTTTGATCACAACCTAGGCAAGAAGTCAAAATGATCTTCAGGGGCTGTAAGTTGAAGTGTCCCAGTGAACTTCATAGTTCTTGTATTCTGCAAAAATGCAGTTTGAAAAACAAAATGAGCCACTAGTGGTTGGGGTGGCGAGATGGTGCTGCACCTTCTTTAATTCCAGCACCCAGAAGGCAGATGCAGGCAGATCTCTGTGAGTTCAAGGCCAGCCTGGTCTACAGAGTGAGTTCCAGGACAGCCAGGGCTACACAGAGAAACCCTGTCTTGGAAACCCCATTCCACCCCACCCCACCCCCCCAAAAAAAAGAAAAGAAAAAGGTGGCGAGGAGGCTGGGCACCTGCGACCTACATAGATGTTGAACACTGGAGGAGTTCCCTGAACTCTCTGCTTGCTCACTGGTACAGTGCCACAGAATCCTAAAAAGGGGTCTTACCATCAAACCTAAGGATCAGAGATACTTTCATTTATGTGCCTCCAAGTCCCAGCCACCTCTCTTCACAGGTTGAGACTAAGCTGAGGGTGTGGGCCCCAAGAAACTTGTGACTTGCATGCAGGCTCACATACACAAGGGCATGGCAGACGTTTCTTCCATTGTGAAACATCTGAGAACCTCTTGGAAGGAGCAAACACAGGGCTGACACGGATCTCTCTGCACCAGGCCCTCTGTGTATACAAAGTAAGCACATCTTAGTTTTCATAGTAAAAGAATAAGAGAAGAGAGAAAAGAAAGGTATTCCTGTTATATGAATACACACATACACACACACACACACACATATATATATATATCACAATATCACACTCATTAAGTTACACTTTGCTCTTTAACTACTCCTGAAGTTGCAGCTAACATTTGTAACCACCTTCTACTACCTATCCTCTTAGTCTTCATCAAGCACAATAGCTGGTCATAGTTCTTAAACTAGTAGGTTGACATAAAATATCATTTCAAAATGTCTGAGTAGTCCTGCTTGGATTGGCTTGTACTTTTACCCTGAATTTAATTATAAGTCGCTTTCCTTAAGGAGTTTCCAATATTCCACACAAGTTCTTCTGTACCCGAATTATAGCCTAGCAATCGAGTCCATGAGAATCACTGGCTTTAGCCAGGATAATATCTTTCTTCTTTCACTGTTAGTTCAGAGGCATGAGGAACTCAAATTGAGTGACTATAGTATCTCTTGGTAGAAGGCATTCTATTACTTTCTCTAGAAACAAAAGCTTCTAGGCCAGTAGGATATAAAACACATGGTAATAGGAAGCAAAACTTTTATTAAGTGGATCACTACAGGTGGTTCCACTATCATTTCCAGCCCTTTATTTCTGAACCTACAAATCCTGACTCAGAGAAGTAACACTATATGATGGCCATGGATTGGAGCATATGTGGTCTTCTGGAGGACCCCATTCCACTACTGCATGTTACTGCCACCTAGATGGACCTGCAACTGAATCTTCAAAATAATAGCCCATTGTCCTATGTTGGAGGACATTGGCTATATGATAGCAAACATGGTATTTAATCTCAAAATGAGTAATAAAATGGGTCCAGAGTCATCTTTCTGTGCCAGTTCACTGTAGGATACACTTCTTAAAGCAATAGCCTCATTCTAAGAGATAAAATATAGTTTATTAGGTGTAGGAACCATGAATATTTGGGTGACTCCCATTATTTGCCTATGCATTTTAAATCTGTGTGAACCCCACCATGCATATGCTTACTTCCGTTTGATGATGTGCATGTACATATATTCATTTCATGACAAGAAACTCATCACATCAAACTTGATGGCCTATATTTATACATTCAGTTTCTGTGAATGCAGGCCAAGCACTATATCTAGAAAGATGGACAGTTATCTTGTTTCAAAGGTTCTCCACGATGGGACATATATAAAAACCTGCCAAAGACTTCAAACAGCATCCTTTCCAATCATAGAGAATTTCATCAAGTACCATATTCATTATGAATATGGTTCACATAGCAGAACAACTTGTAAAACAATCTATGTCTGTTTTAAAGCCTTTCATTGGTCAACACAAAGCCAGCAACTCCTTGGATTATACTTACTAAATGGAAAGATTTATACATTTTGATAAAGAATATTTTGCCTACAACACCTCAATGAGATCATGAGGCATGCTCTCCTTTCTTGGTTCCTAGAAAGAGGAACCAGATGAAATTTCATTCATTCCTGCAAGTGTGTCTTGACAATCTTCCCAAAATTGATCTGTTGATACATATTTAGTCAAACAACTAAACTATTCATCTTCCCACCCAACTTTATGCTTTTGTTCCCACCTCCACCTTTATACCCTACAACCATAATATCCATTGTCCACAAGTTCTCTGTGTAGTTCTACTTGAAGAAATCACAGAGCTCTAGTAGTTATTTCATAGTTTATTACAATGCACCACCAGTCATACTTTATCTGTCAATTACGTCACTTGTAGGATCTTGGTAGGATTTGATTATGGATAACTCTCTAGAAAAAGAGATGGGTAATAGGGCTATACCTTTAGGGAAACGAGTGTTGTCTTGAGATTACCATTTTTCAAAGAATGGAAGATCAAAATTAGTATTCAGGTATCTGTACTGGCCTGCCCTAGGGGTACTAACAGGGTAAATCCTCGGCTGTAGCAACTATGAGCACTCTCTGTGCACGTTTGCTACATTACCTTATAAAAGGCCGACCTTGCCCACCTCCTCTCCTCTCCGCACCTTGCCTCCCTTCTTCCTCTCCTTTCCCTTTCCTGTCCTCTCTTCTTCCTCTCCGCTCCTCTAACCTCACCTCTCCTATACTCTCCCCCTCTCTTCTCTCCCTC